TTTTTTAGAAAGGCCCTTGCGACATCCCTCTATCTTGGTGGTGGTAAGAGAACCGTCGGAATTGAGGGCTTACCTGTCGGGCTGCTCTATCTATTGGTGGGGAGCGGCACCTGCGGGAAACCGTGTTCAGTGTCCCATTGACACATCGTGTAGCACTGAGATTGGTGTTTATTGTTTCCAGGGGCTGTGATTATTATTGACTCATCCTGGGGCTTTCGACAACTCCTGGAGGCTGAACCACTTACGAAATGAATAACAAACCGAGGGCATTTTCCCACAGGAGGCGGCCAATTTTATAATTCGAATACATATATCCTTCGAGATCTGTGGAAAGGTGGACTCATGTTCTGGCGGGGATGACTTGCCTTCCCGCCAGTTTCTGGGCCTCGCTCCATTACTCTTCACGTGCAGAAACGAAAAAATTGTAGCAATGTATCTTCCCATGTTTTAGCGAAGGATTCAGTCTCATTTTGCATATTTGTGGTGGAGTGCTACGTGACACCCGCGGCCTAGGCCGCGGGCATTTCGGCCGCTGCAGCCGAAAAAGTTGGTCGCGGCCGCGACCAATGAGGCCCGGTTTGCGGCCTGATTTTATTAATATTTTTTTTAACCCCTAAAAATACGTAACAAAAAAACAAAAAAATATAGGGGTGTAGTGCTTGAAAAACCCTACAATCGCATGTTTTTTATTTTGGAATCTGACGTCGTTTAAGATTTCAAAAAAATAAAAAAACGAAATTCGATTTAAACAAAATATTAAAAAAAAATAAAACAAAGAATATGATTTTTTTTTGGCAGTTTTCATCATGAGGAATATGGTCCTTGAGTTGTGCTGTATTTTTTTTTTGTAGGGAAATTAGGTGTTTTAAGAAAATGAAGTTGCAAAAATTTAAAACAAATAAAGAAAAAAATGGTTGATTGATTGATTGATTGATTGATTGATTTGATTGATTTGATTGATTGATTGATCGATTGATTGATTGATTGATTGATTGATTGATTGATTGATTGATTGATTGATTGATTGAGTGTGTGTGTGTGTGTGTGTGTGTGTGTGTGTGTGTATGTGTGTGTGTCTGTGTGTAGCATGTGTATGTCACATGAGAGACGTACGGGTACGATACTTCATATCCATACAACTCCGACCTCAACTGTCGGCACACTGGGGGCAGGATGCAAAGCGTGGAGGCGATTTCAAACGCGGCAGGGTAAAGCCCATTCGTATGCCCTGTTATGGTAAGGGCGAATAAAGCCGTTTTGCCGAAGGAGGATAGGCAGACGACAGTAGCGCAGGACGAAAGCGAGGGGGGCGATGGGAATCCGTTGTTCAGGGCGCGTCTATACATCTGCAAGCGCTCATTCCATTAGTATGCTTTTGCAAAAGAAAAAAGGGAAAAACGGTGGGAAAAAAAGGGTGGCAAAGAAAAAAGACAAAGTAAAAAGAAAAAAGAAAAATAGAAAGAAAAAAAAACGATTCCAATTCTCGAAAAACTATTTCAAGTACTCATACCCCAACATTCCAGTGGCTCAAACCGAAGTACAAAACGAAGGGAGAGGCGCATGGAGATGTTCGGAAGGGAGGAGAAGAGGAGACAGGGGAGAGGGAAAAAGGACGAGGAAGAGGGGCGAGGGGAAAGGTGTGGAAGTAAGGAAGAGGGAGATGAAGGTGATAGAGAGGAAGAAAACGGAGAAGCCGAAGACAAAGAGGAAGGATAAAAAGAGAAGTGAGGAAGCGGCGAGAAGAGGGATGGAGAGAAGAAGAGAGGGAAAAAAGGAAGAGGGAAGTACTATCGAAACCAAGTGTGCAGGCCTTTGATAAAACCATTCATTGTATACGCAGAAAAAACAAACCATTGATACGATCAGCAACAACAAGCGCAACTTTATAAAGCGAAAAAAAATGCCGATGCCACAACATACCACGCCCTGTTCTGTTGCCGAGATCCGAGTCTGTTCGTAAAATGAAGAAATGGAAAAAAGGAAAAAAAGGAAGATAGACATACCATAGACGGGGGGAGGTTCTCGTAGGAAGGGAAGGGAGAAAGACGGAGGAATAAAAAAAGAAAAAAAGAAGCCTTGCTCTAGCTCTGTCCTCCAGGTCCTATGTGCTCCTGCATTCGCGCAGACCATCTCGCCAGATTGCAGGGAGGGTGTGGCAAATCCCTGAAGCGCTTTTCTACCTTATGCCACTTGGGTCATCATCAGAGAGGGGGCATCTCCTGGGAGACGAGGTGGGGGAGGAG